AGGAATTGTTGTGGGATATACAATCTTTTTTGAAGATCATTAATAGATTCAGTGCAGCTATCAATCTCCTTTTGTTTATCTTTAATATGATTAATATTTGTTTGAATATTCTGTTCTATACTTGCAAGAGGTTTAGCAAGATGTAATACAATATTTCTAGCTTCATTAAGCGTTAAAGTATCTTGTACTTTATGAGGATCACGGAATCCAAGATATTGAAGAAGTCTTACAGATTCAGTGACAGATCTTTTCCAACTTTCTGTAAAACTTGTTTTATCCATTTCACCGAAGTTTACACCATTCTTAGCTGCAGCTAGAAACCGAAATGATTCATTGTCAAAACAGTACATAGTTTCTTTGTTAGTTTTTATTCCAACACCAGATCTTTGTTCAAGACTATGGAGTTGTTCCTTAAGTGCAGGTAATGTGTCACCTGGACGATAGAGTGTTCCTCTGCAATTAGTAAAACAAAAAACTATATTGTCTTTGGCACTCTTATGTAAATGAGATAATAATTCTTGTATGCAAAATTTAAATAATATAGTTAATCGAGCATTATTTGGCTTGAGAAGGATACAAATCCCATTCAGATATTCGTAATTGCTAATAAATTTAAGAATATTTTCTAAGTTTTCTTTGTCTTTATCAACTCCTCTTGTGTCTCCTATTCCTGGACTATCAATAAATCTTACAATCACGTCTCCTAAGTTAAATTGATATTCTCTACATGTTTGAGTGGCTGACATTCCAACATTTTCTAAATTTTCGTTTGAATCATCTCCAAGTTTTACAGTTCTAAGATCATAATTCTCATCTGTTACTGTAAATTTTGATGGAATTAGTATTTCCATATTCCCATGTAATGCATCATCTAAAGTGTCAAATCTAAGATAGTTATAGAGTGCATTTATAAATGTAGATTTTCCTACACCAGTCTCTCCAAGTAATAATATATTCACTTCTTTTTGTGCGGGGTTTGTCATTATTGAAAATTTGAAAAGAATACTATTATAATAAATGAATTAAAGTGGCAGTTTACGCGAATTTAAATTGAAAAATTTTCTAGATATGACATTAGATAGTGGTTTATTATAAACGAATCAGAATAAAATACGGAAAAAACATTCCGATAGATAATTAAAAAAAAAAAAGGATTATGTACATCCATGCATCTTTAATCTGAAAATTTGAAGTTTTCACATCAAAAGCTAATATAGAAATTTGAATAGGTCTTCGAATGCATATGAACAAAAAATATAGTATGATTATAAAAATTAACAAAGTTAGTTAGAATTAGAACAAGTTATGTTATAAAATACGGAAATAATATTCCGACAGATTATTAAATAAAACAAAGATTATGTGCATTCATGCACATTTAATCTAAAAATCAGTTTTTACGTCAATGAACATCATAGAAGTTGAATAGGTTTTCAAATGAATATACAGATATAAGTAGAAAATATATTACTAGAAAAAAAATATATGAGATTACAATAAGAAATGATTATGGTTAAACAAATATTTTCTTTTTGCACTATGATACTAAATATATTAGATATCTAAACAACACGCTAAGCATTTTGTTAGATTTGCAAGTCTATGGGATGTAAATTAACAAAACTCCTTTATAACGAATTAAGGCTCTTATATCATAGAAAAAAATTTAAAAGTTCTTTATATATACTGTTTCTATATTGGACTCAGTAAATTTCTTCCAAAAAAGTTCGTTAGATGTTATAAAAAAGGCTCATTAACTATGGATGAATTCTAACGAAAATTCACTTTTTTTCAGTAAATAAAAACCAAAAAGGAACCAATGAGAAAAAATATGCACGTACGTTGATATAAGTCATTGATCTGCATTCTACTGTTCTAGCGAAAAAAAAATACTGTAGATCTTAATAGGTTTCGAAAATGCATAATCTTACTTGTAGACAAAAAATAGAATACGTTATTATGCAAGAATACTAAAGCCTCAATCTTTTTATAAGGAAATAGCAAGAGAAAAGCCAAATCTATTGTTCTCAAAGACAACTAATTTTTTATTTAAAAAAATAATTTAAGCTTCTGAAATAAACATGATACAAACTTACAATAGTTAAATTATATTCTTTTCAAGTGATCAAAGACCAGTTTTATTCTACTGCATGTATACTCAGAAAAAAATTCGTCTGATTTGCTAATGCTGTAATGTAAATCAATTGCCTGAGTAAATTATTTATACGCTTTAAAGTATTCTTTACTGACAAAAAATCATCTCAAAAACTACCGTGACTTTAGAATAACGCCAATATTCCTTGTGCAAAAGAATTTAAAAAAGATCTTACTCCTGACAACTTTGATTAGAAATTATATTGACAATGAAAATAAGTAGAACCATTTTTCTTCAAGTCTACCTTATTTAAAAACTTTTATTACTGCCTAGCGATGCCGAATATAATCATGACAAAACTCAATAAAATTATAAACCATCCACGTAATAGGTTAATCGGTATTGCCTATATCAGTATAGATAATATATACCATGAAAAAACGTTGCGTAGACCAAAGGAAAAGCAATAGTATACATAAAAAAGTGTATAGTATACATATATGTATAAAAAAATTTGAGTCGGTTATACTAGTTTGTATACAACTTTATAATAGATACCGGTTTTTATCGATCGTAAAGGTGACTTATCTACATGATATGCGATAATTAATTTAATTGGAGCCAGTATATTAGATCGTATTTATGTAAAAGTTAATTTGATTTAGGATAAAAACGAAAAATAAACTTCATTTTTGTTATCCACTTATTTTTAAGATTATTTAACGAACCTTTTAAAGCTAACAATTTATGTATTTTATTTAACGAAAAAAAAAAATTTAAAAATTATTTAATGGTCACATAATTTTATTCTATAACCTTTGTTATAGAAAATTGACTTTATATAACGACCATATAAACCCTAGATACAATGCACATGTATCAGAAAAAATTTGAACAGATAAACTATATATATATATAGTACTTAATGTCGGAGATAATGCTAAGTTCAAGTTACAATAGCTATATTATCTAAAACTTTTTTACTCAAATCTGTAATTAGCTTTCTTCTTATAAAGCTAAACTAATTATAATAGTATCTGCTATATTTACACTTTTTTGTAACTCTTTTATAAAACCTTTTACTGACTTATAATCTATTATCTCCAAATTTAACAAACTTCAATCTCTTATACTTACTCTTCTAAATTCTTTAAGTTTAATGTCTGGTCTATTTGGCACACACTTCTTAATATATTAAAATTTTTTAATTTCTAATTTATATTTATATAGATTTTTAATTATTAATCAACCAAATTATTTTTTGCTTTTTTACTAATTAAAGAATAGCCTAGGTTAACTTTTTTAATACAAATATCAAGCTTATTACAATTTAGATTTTTAACCCCCCATTTTGGCTTTAACTTTTATTAAACATATCTATAGTGTTTTATATTTATACATATATTATCTCAAAAATTTACTAATTAATCAATACAAGATGTTCTAAATAAAAATGCTTTATGCTTCTAGAAATCCTTTATTAAACTTTAATTTTAGTCATGCATACTAACACCAATATAAAAATTTTGTGTTAAAAATTTTTATATTTTTTTTTTGGTTCTTTGATAGTCTCACTAATGTTTATTGAGATTTCTTGTTTTATCTAACCTCAACTGGTTCTGGCTCTCTATTCCAGAGAGAACCTAACATCTCTTAGCTTGTCACATTAATTGCCTAGTAGTGATCTATTGTACTAACTACCAGACAAGTTAGATTACTGTAATGCAGAAATATATAATCTGTCTATGCATTATGAGTTCATATAGTATCATGAATATTCAGACTTAGGCCTCATATTATATCTTATGATAATGTCAGTTATTTCAAATCAGAGTTCTAATATATTTTTATTTACAGCCACAGCTTTTTAGTATAACTATTCTCCAAATAAATCTTTCTATAAATGTCCCAGATTTTCTGTACCCTGTAGTGTTTCACTTCTATATTCAGTTTTTTATTATTTTGTTGCTTGAAAAAATTAAACTAACAACTTTTTGATTTGCAATCTAGAAGCATAACTGCTATGTTATCGACTTGCTGATCTAAAATTTTTATATCAAAACTTAGAAAAATTTAAAAAATATTAAAACATATGATAGATGCAAAACTACTATAGGTGCATTTTATAATAAATATTACTGTTTATAAAAATAGTTTTTATATCATTTTTATAAATTTTCAAGCTCATTAAGAGTAAGGTATAACTATTTCCAAATTCATATAAAATAGATTGTAAATCAATATTGTGTAACTAATATTATATGATATTATATGATTTACATGTAAACAACATGTGATTTGACTAATAATAATTAGTAATTCTTTGTGTAACTAGATAAAACATATAGCATCCAGGAAAATTTTTAGTTATATGTAAAGTTAATTTTTTTTAAAGCAATATGTATTGTACAACTTTTTTATTATAAACAAACTATTTTAAACTACATATTGTATAAATTTGATACAAATTGGTTAAGATATTGGAAAGTTTTATTAGAAGCACTTTTTTGTTTACTATGTAAAAATTCAATATACCATGTAGATCATATGAAAATTGATTTACATACACCCTACCCTTAATACTTACTATATATCTTGTGTATTAATTGATATTATAGAGCTTTATTATTGCTTGGTTAGATGATTTTATTTAACAAAGTGAATAACTTTATTTATCAAAGCTAAAAAAAATATGTGATAAAGGGCTCACTACCTTTGGCGGCTCTAATATACATAATCAATACTACAAATACAGAGACATCAATTATTAATAGTAGGTAAAATAGACACCAATAATACCTCGCATATCTCACAATCAAAGAGATAGCCCAGAACAATTCATATATCAAAATGCCTTTAACAGTAGGTAAAATGGACACCAATAATACTTTGCATATTCCACAAACAAAAAGATGGCTCACAACAATTCATATATCAAAATGCCTTTTATGTAGAGAAAAAATGTCAACCATTCTTATAGCTACAAAGAGAATTAGTATATACATATACTCATGTTAATAAGCAAGGGATTGTTCTTATTATAGTCCTTGCACTACTATTTGCAGCTGTGGAGCCCAAATACAAAATAGATCCTTGTATTGCTACTGCAGCCATAGAGCTAAACAACAGGTTCTTGTACTGCTAGTGCAGCCATGGAGCCTGACATAACAAAGCAAACACATTTGCTTAAATTCGGGCAAGTAAGGAAGAGAAATAGAGCCAGCCTTCACAAAGCGAGCAATAGTAAAAAGAAAGATAGCCCTCTTTACCAAGACAATTGACTTTAAATACTTCTTGTTTTATTCTTCTGCATTGCTAATTTATTCTTGGCTATAGCCATTATCTCTTACTACTGCCACCAATCTAATTACTCATAATTATATGTTAATCCAAAATTACCTGTTAATACAAGCTACAAAAAATATACAACAATAATCAAAGAACTACTATAAAGGATATATAAAAAACCTAGAATATAACTGGTTATAAAGTCATCTAATCTTGCAATAATGATCACTCTGTTACTTTGTTGACAGGCTTTTCAAAAACATTAGATAAGCAGTTGTAATTGTGTTTGGGTTACTTTGGTAGCAGATCAATACAATATACGTGAGTTGTATTGTGCTTATTAATTATATAAATTAAGAGTCATAGCGCATCTTTGGTAGAGTTTGTGATGACTAAAATAAAATTATAAAATTAAATATAAAGCTTTGCTAATAATAATAAAAGTTTATTTGTAAATTTTAAGATTTGATTTAAATTAGCCAATCATACGAATGTCATCCTATGATCTATACTATTTTCTTAATAATTCTAACCCTAAACCTTAACTTAACTATAAAAAAAAATCTAGCAAAAAAGGCCCCAAAAACTTTTAAAAATCGC